CCCTATGCACACACTATGCTCCCTATACACACACATTACAGCACCTACATGCACATGCTCTCTACAGCCCCTAGCCACACATATTACACCACTAACACAACACAACTGAAACTGACCCATTTACACAAAACACAACATTACAATCAGTCCTCTCGATATATGCAAAATCCCACAAGAAGCTTTCAAACATGTGCACAAAACTCTTTCCTGGCCCATTTGTCCTCTGGTATCCTGCTTATTGAGACACCAGCGACAAGTCACAAGCAAACGCAGTCCAAGCATGTCATTAAACCCACTTGCACTGCTCAGACCAAATATATGCAAGAACGCTTCTAATGCAAGAGCACTTCACCAGGGCTCTACCCATTGGCTTCCCTGGAGGAGCATTGAACCAATATAGTCACTATGAGGGGAGCGTGATGGCCATTGGTGATGACACAACAGACCCCTTCCTCTGGCCTCACCCCATTCCGACTTGGCCGCTGTGACAAAAAAATGCCCAGGCCAAATTTTTTCCCCAGTCCGGCCCTGATATCTCCCCATATCACTTTTGGTCTATTCCATCTATGTTTGTCTCTTACTGAATTTCCTGACAATATATAGTCATCACATTTTAAAGCTTTAGTTATATTCCACATTGCTGTCAGTGAATTATTTATAAACACAGCTGTATCACACTGGATCTGATTGAGCTATATTTCAAATTTGTTTTTAAAGATATTTCTTGCTCATATTCCCAAGACTCTTTTCTCTGATCAAATTATTGCATAGTTAAATCACTCATAATTAGAACTTGACTGAAATGATCAGCATTTTCTTTTGGAAAAGGAATTTATATGTTAATTCTGTGAAAAACGTTCCAGGTTTCATTAATAGGTTTGCACATTAAAAATGATTATGTGGTTTTGTAACCTGTGTTTATTTGTTGGAGTTATTCTGATGGGAATTAAGTTTCATTTTAAATGTAGACGCTAAAGGACCACTAAAGGCATGCAGACCACATCATCTCACATCATCTCAATAAAGTGTTCTGGGTGCACGGCAGTTCTAGCATTCCTAATGCTAGAGTGTTGCTTTAAGTATTGTTTTTTTTTTATAATCAACAATTCATGGATGAACGAATCTATGTGGTGTCAGTTAATGCTAGTCATGTGAGATAAGAGTTGAGGTTAAAAAAAAAATGTGATTTCCTCAAATATCTGTTAATCAGGAAAGAGACTAAAGACTCACACTTGTCATCTTACACTCCTACCGATCACAATCAGTATTTATAGGGGGCAATGGGTTAATGACATGGAGTGTCTTGGCTTGCTGGACCTCACATGTTACTTCCAATTACATTTAAGCCTCATTTGTGGTATGGAACATTGCAGTTACTGAGCCACTGATACCAATGCATTGAGTGGAGACCTCCTTTGTTTTTCTTAAAGGAACGCTATTATTAGATCAGGAACACAAGCATGTATTCCTGACCCTATCGTGTTAAAAGAGCATTTAGCCCTCCTACCCCCACTTATCCCTGTAAATATAGTAAAATACTACCTTCATTCTAGTATGCTGGAGCTGGCTCTGCCCCTGATCTGGCTGCTTGGCTGACATCACCAGAAGTGATTCTGTGAGCCAATCACAATACTTTACAATAGGATTGGCTAAGAATGTCAAGGAGGCAAATCAGGGGCAGAGCCAGCACAAGCCAAATACAGCCCTGGCCAATCAACATCTCGTCATAGATATGCATTGAATCAATGCATCTCTGTTAGGAAAGTTCAGTGTCTCCACACATTGTTCAGCACTGCCCCAGGAAGCACCTCTAGAAGCCATCTGAGGAGTGGCCAGTGGAGTTATCACTAGGCTGTAATGTAAACACTGAATTTTCTCTGAAAAGACAGTGTCTACTGCAAAAAGCCTGAAGGGAATGATTCTACTCACCAGAACAAATACAATAAGCTGTAGTTGTTCTGATGACTATAGTGTCCCTCAAGTCTCCCATGATCAGCACCCAGAGCTGATTGGCTGCTCTATGACAAACAACTTTTGCCCATTGATATAATAACTCAAGGTCACTTCAAGTTGTTTTTCCTAATTGTTTCATTCTCTTTTGTCATTGAATATTAGAAATAAAAGCCAAAATGAACTAAGCATTTGATGTATTCAATATCCCCTGATGTGCTGCCACAGTTTTTAGAATGATTCATATCATGTCATTAGTTGATTGACCTATACTCAGAGCACAAGTGTATTAGCGAACATTTTTATTGGTGATGTTTCTGCCAGTCACCAAACAAAATATAGCAGACCAGCATCAAATAAAAAATAATGAAGCTGTCTTTACTAACAGCAAACATGATAACATGCTCGCCTCTCTGTACATGCAAATCCAGATCCACAAGAACTTTAAGCAGGTGGCTTGAAGGGCTGCTGGTTCTCCATACTGTCTGTGGTTAATGGAGGGTAATTATAGTTGTCTAAGGAATAGATTAGCTATACATTTGAATGGGGATTTATTATGCTATAATGCTACATGTCCTCTGCTCTAGGCCAAGAATCACTTATCCATCATTATATATATGAAAGGGGGGATGATTTTTCATAGTATTTAATAAAATACAAATTGTAAAACAACTTAACAAAGTACATAAGTTATACAACAGTGTTAGCTAAGCACTTGAAATCTTACAGAGTCATTCACTAAAGTGAGAATTCATCGTGAATTTCACATTTAAAGCTAAGTAGCTGAAAGGAAAGCATAGCTAAGTTAGAACATTTTTTGCAGTTTTTACTATTTTAACCTTACGTTTGACATTCACTTTAGCCCAGTAAATGTATTTTCTTTCCTTTTTGCACCCTAATGGAAAACCACAAGTGTCCATTAGCATTAAAAGAAAATATCTTCACGTACTAACTATATACGTGCTTTTCTTTGAGTATTTTTCGAGTTGTATGTTAGGTTATGATTTGAGAAAACAAACAAACAAAAAAACAAAAACTAACAATAAGAAGTTCGTTTCTACACTACATTTCAGCTGCCTCTGTGACCTACTGTTATGAAGATACAGAATTGTTGGAAAAGGTTTCGAAAGTTCACTATATTTTCTTGGAATAAGCCTATGTCACTTATTTATTAAACCAGTTCCATGCCTTATCCTGTAATTAGGGGTTGATGTTCCCACAGGTGCTGCTTCAGACAGTAATTAAGGGTAGGTGTTCCCACAGCTGCTCCTTCTGTCAGTAATTAGGGGTAGGTGCTCCCACAGGTGCTCCTTCTGTCAGTAATTAGGGGTAGGTGCTCCCACAGGTGCTCCTTCTGTCAGTAATTAGGGGTAGGTGCTCCCACAGGTGCCATGAGCATGTTACGTTGGGTTACAGATCAGTCTAACCAGTGCCAATTATTTTTTAAATGTAGTATAAAGGAGCCAGTCACCATGCTGGCACTAGCAGTGGTTGAAGGCAACCCTGAGGCAAACAAAATATATATCTGCTTCCTTCCTTACTGATTGCAACTGGAGGGTGTAAGGTTTATATCTAGAATAGTGTGAATAAGCATGCGGGACATGCACATCGACATCTACTGTTTCTACTTGGCAGTACCACTGGCCAATAAGCTGAAGGGTGCATAGTGTGACATCTTAGTAATTAAACATTAGAATATAGCTGATTGGAGGTATATGTGAGAATAGGAATACGGCTGAAGGGGATAAAAAGCTTTTGTGATGAAGTACAGATGTGATGGAGTGTTATGAGAGGGAATATGGAACATAGGGTCAGGGGTAGGCAACAACTGGCACTCCAGATGTTATGGACAACATCAACTATCATGCTCTTACATCCATAATCATGGCAAAGCATCAGAATATATGTAGTCCACAACATCTGGAGTGCTGAAGGTTGCCTACCACTGCAGTAGGGTATCATGGGATACACCAATATGACTCTGTGTGGAACATGAGAACATGAGAGGCCCATACCTTTTTTTTGATTGTTTTCAAAATTAACTTGGAAAATCACATATACCTTCACAGATGTATAGTTGTATAGTTAGTGTTTTAATGAGTTTGAGTTGGTAATTTTTGTTTCCTGTGACTTCCTTCTTGTTTCATAAATACCCAGGCTTTTGCTGAGAGCATTATTATCTCCCTGGAAACACTGTGTTTGGAAAACCTGACAGGAAAGATGTACGTTATCAGCAAAATTATTTTGTGTGTCTGAACAGAAAAATGATGGTGACTTCAAGTGATAAAAATATGCAAGGTAAATAATAGTAGTAACAGGGTGCAGGTTGTTCAAATAAAATAACATGTGCATATTAATCAATATTTATTTAACTCTCCATTGTACAATGCCAGCTTTGTTTGTCTACATTGATAGAAAGTATATGTATTTTTGCCCACTCATGTCATAATAACGTAATTGGACATCGATTTATTACTTTTTAATATTTTTTTTCAATTGGTCTATTATTATTTTTGAAAAACATTTTTAAAATGTGTATTTTTTTTTTTAATTCTTTATTTATAAAGTGCAAGAAATAACATAGTGTTCAGTAATCCACAACAGCCTCTGTACACAGAGTGATAACAAGTCACATAAAACAGAGTTATGGCATTCGTATATATCGCATATTTTTTAGATTTTATAGTATGCTTAAATTACAAGCTAACTAGTAAATGGCTGGAGCTACTGTTAAGGGAAAGTGGCTGAACTTTACGTATACATAGGCATGTTGCTAATCATTTTAAAGTAATACAGTAAGTAAAGCATGAGGGAATGCATATAGCTAACAGCTAATAAAGACTTGCTGTAATTGTGCCACTAGGTCCCGGCCGCAAGCTTCTTAGTTAGAAGTAGCTCCGTTTTGCCCAAAGAACATAATAATAAAACATAAGCAAAGACAGAAGAAAAAGGATACAAGAACAAAAACAAAATACCCCTGGTTGAGAATAAGCTGGGGCGCATATATGGTCTGAGTCCTTGTGGCTGACAGGTAGCATTGTGCTGTTAGGTCAGCCTATGCCCGATAAGTAATGTTCAGACTGCCAAGAAGAGTGTGAGCTCCCTTTCGCCGTCTTATATATCTGCCGTCGGTGTTGTGTCTCATATATGCGTGCGCTGTGTAGCTGTGGTGTACCTGGTCCGGGCTGTAATCTGGAGCCGTCGTTGGCTGGGTGTGAGACGGGTGCCTTTGTCTTTCTACCTCTTAGATCTGTCCGGACGGTGTGGTGGGCAGTTGATGTCTGCAGGCTTTCATTCCGGTTGTGGAGCTTTGTTTGTTGTGGGCCGCGATGACCCTGTCGGGTGGAGGGTGGTCCGTACGAGCCTCCCACAGGAGTCTTTGGCGCCTTTGCTTCCTTATTGTGTGTTGTCTTGGGGCGGTCCATGTCCCTCCGTCGCTTCCACCACCTGGCCACCGGGCCACCGGGCCCTGCACCCGCTCTTTCAGTGGCAACGCTTTGCTTTGATGCTTTGCATGCTTGCGAGGGGGTGTGTGGCTGCGTGCTGCCGTTGTGGCTGGTTTCTGTACCGGTTGCGAGCTTCTCTCCCTCATTCATTCCCAGAATCTCAGGCAAACAGCATCGAAGTTCGCATTGAAGGCTGCTGCCCATTCTTCATTAGTCTGCTGCATCAGTTTAGCGGCTGCACCGTCGGCCATCTTAGCTGGGCCTTGTGGGGTCGCCTGAACGACTTTGTGTCGTGATGTGTCCCAGAGGTGGGTGCTCTTAGGGCGCTGGTGGACCGGGATGACCCCCACCGGTCCAGAGAGGGGGGGACAGGTGCCCTTCTTCACTAGGGGCTTCTTTCGTGGCGGGGGGAGAGTGGCCGTATCTCCTGCTCCCGCCTTTCGAGTAGGCCTCAGTTACTTGTTCTGCAAATAGTGCTCGGTTCGTCGCTTGATGGGTATCTTTGTGCTCAGATATTTGTTCCCTTTCAGTTGCTGGCTTTGTTGGGCTGATTGGTCGCCGTTTGGGTCGTGTAAAGTGGCTTTTCATGCGGGCTATAGCAGGAGCCCTTTGAGGATGTCGACCGCTCGGCTCTGCAGTCAGGCCCCGCCCCCCTGTATTTTTTAGGTATAAAAAGTTATAAAAAATATATCATATATAAAAAATATTTCCAAATGCAGAGAGAGTCCACGTGCACAGATTCCATCATACTGCAGACAGTTTAGTGGAATAAGCACAACATGATAAAATTTCGGCCGATATGGACGGCCTTTCTCAAGTTTGCCGAAACATTGTCATGTCGTACTTATTCCAATAATAATTCTTCAGTCTGACAGAATGTGTGCCTGGACTTTCCCTGCATTTAGAAGTATTCCAGGGGGCGAGTAAGCATTTTGTTTTCAAAATCTTGGCCACAGCCAAAGATAGGAAAAATGCTCAGTTGAAGAATTTTTTACATTTCAATATTTTAGACTTGCAGGTACAACTTCACCTATGGTATTTACTTCTGGAGTATGCTTGACTTTGTGATTATGGAACTTTAACAGGAACTTGTTTTGCCGGTTCTGGTAATTGTTTTCCAAATTAGATGTAACTCATGGAACAGGAAGTGCATTTGCATTGACTGTCATAGTTGTGCCTTTCCATAAGGCAGTTGTAATGGTAGGGTTAATCATTAATGCAACTGCAGAGTATGAAATAAAACTTTATATATAATTTCTAGTAACACATTTTTTATGCTAGATAAAAAAGTTCCTTATCTCAAAAAAGTGACCGTATTACTTTATAGTATAAGAAAACTCAGACTCTTAAAATGTTCCCAAAATTGTGAATTTTATTGTAAATAGCAAGGCAGTCATTTTCTGTGGGGTAAAGTATTGCAATTAAATTCTTAAACTTAACCAGAATAAGTCACACATACAAATCAGTAAAACACTATGCACTATGCAAAATGGAAAGACATGACTGGTCTAACAATGTCACATTTTGTGCAATTAGCAATAATAAAGGTACAGATTATGAATAGGCTGTGTTATAAGACATACTATAGTGGCTTTTGTAGGGACATGGAAATGTTACGGAAGAAGGAATTTTTTGTAGCTTACTTACATATTTACCACAAGGTTATGTTTAAAAATGCATCACTTTTATGTTAAAAATATTATCATTTATAAGTTATTGTGGTTCCCAATTAATATTTCCCTTGGAACAGTTTGACATAGTGTACCAAAATCGTGGAACCCCAAATTAGTTTTGCACAGTACCACAAACCTTTTAATAAGCAGGGTGTCATTTTTTCTATTTTTGACAAATTCGTCTTATGTCTGGATGAAGTTGGCCTAGATACTTTGGGGGTTTTTAGGGGGTGTGGGGTATATACACTGATTTCTACAGGTAGTAAACAGACAGAAAAAATTATTTTTAATGAAGCTTTATTAAAAAACAAACCAACCTAACACAATTAGATTAGAGAAAAAGTGTGATATACAAATATTTTCGGCAGCACACTTTTAACCAGCACTGTCTGACTCTAAAAATAAATAGAACTATCCTTAAATACCACATTGGGCGTAAATAGAAAGATGAGAACAATAAAACCAATCATTTTCCTCCTATGTGAAACCAGATTGTGCACAATACTGACTGAAGCAACAAAAATAGCCGACCCTGAAAGAATGAGAGGATTCCTACATGCAACTGTCTCTATCAATGCTCACAACCAACTGAGTGAGTCTGAAATGGTCGATCAAGGTCTTGTGAGAACCGCTGTTTCCAACTCCCGGGGACAGTGGTGGCCATCTTGGATGGGGCAAAATAGTGACGAAAGTTTTGTTCTTGTGGTATCTGGGAAACATTCATTTGTAAATGCGGATATAGTGGCACGATATTTCTTACAGAAAGAGGTTATGACAGGTAAAGAAGGCCCTGCACAAAGAAGCTTACAATCTATGAGGATTTGAGGTAGGTTGATATATATCATTATGTGTCTTGCCCATGGTCACTTATAGGTAAGGTGGTCTAACCAGGATTTTCCAGTTCTAAGGCATTTGCATCACCTCTGCTCTAACCAGCTGATAAATTGTATTTATATGACAAGCACACAAATGTTGGGTTAAACATGTATTGATTGCATTTTATAGATACCTAAAAAATAATATTATAAATTTATTTAAAAAAATATATTGTATGATCTCCGTTATCTTGCAATAAGACAGACAGGATCTGAAATGTTAATTTCAGCTTTAGCTTAATAAAGTAGTTTTGGTGTAAAGCTCATGCCCCTGCAGTCTCACTGCTCAGTTCTCTGCAATTTCAGAATTAAATCACTTTGTTTATGCAGCTCTAGTCACATCTCCCTGCATGTGACTTACACAGCCTTCCTAAACACTTCATCTTATGGTTATGCTTCCTTTAGTGCAAATCCTGCTAAATTTAGGATGCATCTCCTGCACTATTAATAGTTTGATGTACCTTGCAGGAGCCTATTGTGATCAAAGTTTAATTTACAGATCAGGAGTAAAAAAGGAGTTAAAAAAAACTTGTAAAGTAAGTCAACATCTGAATGAAAACTATTTTTCCATTGTAGGGTGTGTGATTCGCATCTTGGCTACGGCTGCATAAACAGAAACCAAGATGATAAAACCCTTAAATAACAGAAAATTGAGCAGTGAGATTTCAGAGGCATGATTTATATACAAAAACTGCTTTAAGCTAAAGTTGTTTTATTGCAGTTAGTGTGTGCGCACTGTTCCATAATCTGAATTTATTATCGGAAATGTTACCATGTAAGCAGAAATTTAAAAAAACACTAAAAGATAAATGTTTATCATGTCTAACCCAAAACTAACAATAGTCTCCATGATCTATCTATCTATCTATCTATCTATCTATCTATTTGTCTGTATGTCTGTCTGTCTATCTATCTATTTATCTTAAAGGAACAAAACGCACACAAAAACAGAAACAAAAAAAAGCTTTACATTTTACAAGGCTACTTAAAAATGTTGTTAATCTTAGTAAACAAATATGAGTATTTGGTGCTACAATCATTTTAACATTGAAGATTTACATGCTAACTTGCAATACTTACAGCTTCAAATGCTTCCAGTTACTCCTTAATTTATGCTTTCCTGTGGTCACATCTAAAGGGGCACCCAGAGTGGATGGGTGGGGTGCTCAGAGCAATGGGAACCTGGTCTGGATTCCAAATCTACACAGAAAAAATAGGAATTGGGGGCACACCCAGAACATAATATTGGGGTACTGTGATGTAGTGTTGGCCTTCACACAATATGGCCATATGGTGTAACTGAATCTCTTTATTTGTGTGGTAATATATATATTTTAATTATAAAACGTAAACTGTGTTTATTAGTTAATATTTTGTGTGCGTGTGCTGTTCATTTAACTGTATTTTGTATAGATTTTGATCTATGTATCTATCTAGTTTAGATTATATACAAATTCCATATTTTACCTGTAAACCTCCCTCTCCAGAGCACAACATGTGCCTCAATCGTGCTGCTAATTATTGGGAACAAATTGCCCAGCCCAATCGAGTATGAAAAATATTAATGGTCTGGAAATGGAATAACGCCCATTGTTTGTTTACCATTCATTTTCATAGAATACCAATTGAGAAACACTTTGTGAATATATATTTTTTTTGTGCCACACATTATTTATACAGAAAAAAGGATCTAAAATTCACACAAAAAAAGTTGAAACGTAATAATATAATTTATTTGACTTTTTTGTTCTGCTTATTTATCAAATCATTGAAAAGTGAAAAAAAAAATATTTTTTCTGTGTACGCCTTTATTTTGATCCCATTTCTTTATCCCATATAACACAAACACTTTAGAAAGAAATAAGTTAATTTCGTACACCTAATTAAGCATTATATATTCAAGCTATGCTTCGGTGGTTGGAATTATTTCAATGGACCATTTCATTTATTGAGTCTGACAGTCTTAGCTCCTAATCACAGTGATAAATGACTTCCCTTGAACATAATGATACTTCGTCTTGCTTATTTTCTTCTCTTGTTTAATGGCTTCAAAACAGCTAGGATGATTCATAAATAAACATTTTTAACAACATGTTAAATTTACAGAACTTTGCCTGAATAGTCAATCTTACTCTGTGAGTGTTGCAGGGTTACATGGAGGACAATGACTGGTGATCTTGTGTGTAAAGATCTGCATTCATTACATCTAGTTACTTGTTAAATCACTTTGAGATTTATCATTAACATATTGCATGAGATAGCACCTGCACTATGTTACCATTTGGAGGTGATCTCTTAACATACTGTTTGATTAATGTGTCTCCAAAACCATATAGAACATAATGCAATATCATACAAGATTGGATAATCACACTCATAGGGTTCCGTTGTAGAATTAATTTGTTAAAAGTGCCCTTCACAGACATATATAGTTACTATGGCACTATAATATACATTGTTCTTAAATAACAATATGGTTGGATGAATAGACGTGCAGTAATCCAATTTTCCTTCTGGCATCAAATTTTATTAGATACAAATCTGTCTTTGTATTTTGGAACATCTACATCTCGTTTCATAGTTTTTATA